TTCGTCCCTCTCCAGTGACTCGTTCCAGGAGTGCGGGGAGACCGTCTAAGTCTGAACCCTGCCTGCTTTTCGTGGCCATGCAGTAACTCGTGTTCTTCAGTTTCACCTTCTGAGTCGCCTTTTGCTTTTCTTCCAGACTTTGTCTGTTTCTGCTGGAAAGCTCTTGTGTGCAAAGCTCGTAACTAGCTGTAACTAGCTACTTACTAGTAGAGGTGGAAAAAAAGTGTTATTAAATACATACATCCTTGAAACGATGAGCTGAATAATATTACGATGTAGGCCATCTTCTGCAGGAAGCCTCCAGCTTGCGCTCCTTGAGGCCTGTCGCGTACAGTCAGCAATTAAATTAAAAGCAGCAGGTTGCGGGAACTGTTTGGACTGCACGTGGTTAATGCTTAATGATAATTACTCCGTGTGCTCAGGGTAGGAGAATATCTCACAAGTCCATATCTCCTTCCTCATGTCTTAGCTGCAAAGTTATAGAATCTATCTTAAACCCACAGAAGTGACCAAGTGTAATGGCACGGGACCTTTCAGTGCTGCTTTCACGTCTAAGCTCGGCATGGTTATGTAAGAACCATGTCTCTTTTCATTTGCAATAACCTTTTTGTTGCTCTACCTAAAATAATAGGAGAGGGAGAAGCGTAACAGTTTTCAAACATACAGTCATTTCTGTCAATGCTTTGCTTTTTTAGGTGGAATTACTTTTTCCTTTATGACGGTTCAAAGGTTAAGGAAGAAGGAGATCCTACAAGTGCCGGGATTTGTTATTTTTATCCTTCTCAGGTAACATCTGCTTTTATTTCGGTGCCTGTAAAGGAGTGCCTGTGTTGTGAGTCAGTGCTGATAATGCTGATTCAGGAACGGTCGGGCTTCCAGGTCGAGTTCTTATTTAGCATTCACAAAAGTTTTAAGAAAACTCATGCAGCTGGAGCCAGCTGGGGTGGTGTTCCACCAGACTGTGCACGCAAGTCCTCAGGCTTCTGAGGCTGGGCGCGGTGGCGTTGCCCTGTGCTCCCTCACCGTGGATTCTGGTCAGTGCAGTCCTCCAGCAGAGTCCAGGTCTGTTCTGTGATGTGAATAAACACACACGAGGGATGAAAGTGCCCCTAAATAAGCTCTAGGTCCTTGTGCTGCCTAAAAAAAAGCAGTCCAATTATTTTTTCCCCAGAAATTTGCCTGTGCTACTGCATTTGATTTATAATTGAATTGAACTTATAGTTCATTTTTATTTATACCTGAATACAGTAGAGATTTTTTTTCCAAGACCTTTTAAAAGGGAAAAAAAAAAAAGATCTTTTTCCCTGCCTTCCTCGACAGACTCTCCCCGACCAGCAGGAACTGCTGTGTGGACAGATTGCCGGAGTGGTGCACTGCACAACTGAGATTTCTGGAGTCCCTCCAAGTCTCATTCGCCTGAGGAAGCTCAAGTTTGCAGTTGTAGTGGATGGAGACTATCTGTGGGTGAGTTCAAGAGATCTGGAGGCAGTCACAGAGCTAAACTGTGAGAGAGTCTGAACTACTTTATTAAACAACAAGGGCTTTTTTTTTTCCCCCACAGTATGGGCTGCACACAGGTAGACTGGGGAGAGCTAGGGTGGGAACTTGCAATGCACAACTTTTCATTGCAAGGTAACTTAAATCTCGTTTACCACAGCCTACAAGCATATGTCGTGGCAGTCACTTCATCTGTTCTGTAAAAAGCTTCACGTACCTCATTTGTGTGTCCACACCCAACGTGTTTTCTTAAGATGTGCCTGGCAATGGCTGTAAAGCATTGAGCTCTGTGTCGTTATGTGTATCTGTGGGTTACTGGCAATGACTGGAAACAAGATTCTGTGGGCTGCAGTTTATGATAAGGACTCAGTCTCCCTATTTGGTAGTCTGACCGTTCTTTCTTTCTGACCCTCAGTATTCCCTGCTGCAGAGCTTTGTCAGTGTCAACAGACATTTAGTATATAAAGAGCAGCGTGCGGCGGAGTCATGAGAAAAGTGCCCCAAACCATCCCCTGGAAACTGGGCTAAGACCGGTCAGACCTATTTAATTGGCAGCACTAGTCAGGCTCACTGGGCTCTCTCTGAGGCAGAAGGCCTGGTGCTTGTGTTTCTCTTGGCAGCTCAAAAAGTAAATGAAGCATTTTCGTTGCTGTAAATAGCAAGTTAATTTGAATATTTTTTAAGTACTTGTTTTCAGGAAAATGTTCTCAGCTATTAGAGCACAAGCTAGGTCATCTAACGTGGGAAGGGAGTGTGTCTAAAATGCTGGATTTCTGATATGATTTATTTATCCTGTCTGTGCCAGGGCTCTTCTGTGAGTATTTTTGAATTTCCTTTTCATCTGACTTGTGAGTCCGGGGGATGTTTGCCTGCCACAGAAGTGCTTGTATGCCTTTGACACTCATTTGAAAGCGATGAGAGTTGTTTTCACCTGCTGTGCCTGGGTTTTGTCAGTAAACATTCTTCATTCATGGCTTTCTGTATTAAAGGTTCTGGGCTGTGCCGTTGAGCTCCCTGATGTCAGCTGTAGACGGTTTCTGGAGCAGCTGATCAGCCTCTTCACCTTCTACAATGGGCCTGTGCACCATGCGTACATGGTAATTAAAGATCAGCAGCTGTGATGTTTCTGCCTAGGAAGAGGTCTTAAACACTTCCCACACTGGCCGAGCTCTCCCCAGGCACACACATGTTCCCTTACCTTGTCTTCCTGCTTGCAAGGGTCAGAGCAAGCTCACATATCAAAGAATCAGGACCTGGGAAAGTGTACAGGCCCACCCCCCTCACTACACCAAGGTAGTGTGGGTGTCTACTAGAAGTTTCCTAGATGTTCAGTTTCCTCTCGATATCATCTTCCTCCTTATCATCACAAGATTTGCCACTTATAGGTACCGTCCCAGATTGATTGCATCTAACCGTCCTGAATGCATTAAGGCCTGTGCAGTGACAGCCGTGTGGATTTTTATTGTCCGCAGGCATTTTCTCAGGAGGAACTGAGCAGGCAGTGGGACAGATATATTAAACATATCCAAAAAAACACCAGTGACCTCCACAAGATTTTCAATTCCCTCTGGAATCTGGACAAAACCAAGGTAAAAGCCTGTCCTCTGCAGTGTCTGACTTTAGAGCTGCCTTAGTGCCAACGCTTTTGTGTTTATTTGCTGCTTTGAGCGTTTCCCGGGATTCTCTGGCCTAACTTCTTGTGGTTGTCCCTGTCTAGGTGGACCCCCTGCTTTTACTGAAAGCAGCTCTCATCTTGCAGACTTGCCAGCGGTCTCCCCACGTCTTGGCAGGCTGCATTCTCTACAAAGGCTTGTAAGTAACCAGGTGTTACCTGAAGGGTTAACCTGCACGTTAAATCTGCCCCTTCCCAGGGCTGTGATCCCAGAGCACATCCAGGGAGCAGAGCAAGGGCACTAGCTGTACACACAGGGCTGCTGTTTGTTACTGACGGGAACGTTAATGCTTCAGGCAAGGTAATCCCTGTCTGCTGGTATATTTCGAAGAGGATAAATATGTTTATCAGTAGGAGAAATGGAAGCATGAAGAAATTCAAGGTTTGGGGTTTAGTAGTAATCTGCTGTCTTTGATAGTCAGCAGGACGTGAAGACTGAACTTCTTGGGCTTTTTAGGTGGAGGTCACCAAGAAAAAGAAAGATGTGTGCATATTATTCTTTCCCCTTAGTGTTCTCTTTGCAGTCTTGCAAGTACAGTGCATGTGTGTGTCTGTATGTATGTATTTTTGACTGACTTATTGGCCAGGACCACTGTCTATATTGCTAGAAAGTGCGCAGAAGAATGAGCTAGAATTTCCCACAAAAAATGCTGGCTTCTTTCAACTGATTGTAGCTGAAGATGCTGCAGATGTGGCACTGAACGATATCAAGGAAAGCCTCAAAGGTGGCCTTGAAAGACAGGAGGTGGGGGATTCTGAGAATTTCTTGGCAATAACATTCAAGCACCTTTTTCCTTTGGCATAGACTGTTCCTGTAGCACCTTTTACGAGCACTGGAAATATGCCACAATGTGTGCATCTTTCCAGGTCTGACAGAGGCAGGCCAGGCATTTTTAAGGGAATGATCTCATATGTGCAGGCAGGACACTGAGCATGAGTCACTGCAGCACCTTAATGCTGGCAGCATGTTGCAGTGGAAATGGACGTCTGACTTGAGAATGGAGTCTTGTCCTGCATCTGCCCATCACCGATGTGTGTGTCTCGTCGTATCACTAGTCTGTCTGGTAGAGATTTTTTTTCACCAAATGTCATCAGAGTTCTCCGAACTCTGAATCTTACTACAACCCTGCAAAGGCCTTTGTACTTGAGTTAAAAATTCTCCTTCTTTAGAGCCTTTTGGAGAATCTCCACAATGTGGATTTCAACAAGACGTAAACGGAGAGACCAAGAATACCTTTGGAAGCCCTGTCAAAGGGGTCTGTACTGCAGTACTTTGAGTGCTTGTCTTTCCAAATCTTCTCCACTGCCCACAGCTCTTCGTGGCGTGGCAGGAAGTCTGTATGGATCAGTCTGTCTTAGGTCTTGAGTCAGCAAAACCAGATTTGTTGGCCCAAAATAAATGCTAGCAGGTGGTTTTCCTGAGTTTAGAGTGGAACTGACCCGAAGAAAAGAAGAAAACGAGAGTCCTGCTGGTCTCCCAGCTTGTGATCCTCTTGTCCGGCAATGTGTTAGCTCCAGCCCATGTCTGGGGCTGGCCCTTCAACCCTTGCAGAGTGTCTGGCAGGGCCGGGAGAGGTGGGTGCAGTGGAACCTTAGAGACCTCCCCAGAGATCACCCAGCTGTGAAATGGGGCCCTGCAGCACCGTCAGTTTTGCTCAAAGTACAAGTAAAAGTCTAGTGTGAGCATTACTGCTGGCTCTGCCTGTCCTGATGCCCTGAGTGATGGGAGTCTATGGCTGAGCTTCAGGAAATGACACTCTGCTCATGGATGACTTTGTTTTGTCCTTTTAGGATTGTGAGCACGCAGCTGCCGCCTCCTCTCACTGCCAAAGTTCTCCTCCAAGGCAATGAGTCTCCAGGCCAGGTATGTAGCTAAACACATTCCCTGCCTGCAGATACCCTCTTGTAAGGATGTGGTCTGGGAGCTCTTGTAATGTAGATCTTATGTGTGCCATTACTGGGAAGGACAAATACTGATCCTAAAAGCTTTTATTAGTTATGATTGAGTAAGGTTTCAAGACTTCTGCAATAGGAATTTGCTTTTTTTTTGGTCTTTAAGTTACTCAATTCGTGAGTTCTCATCTATGTGATGTTTTGATTAGCTTTTTACCCATGTTTAGGTATTTAGTGCTAAATATACACACCATGAATGTCTGAAAGTGACAAATAGATCAATTTTTGTTTCCATTAAAACTTGTCAAAAGTAATTATTTACGTGGTTCAAGATCCTCTACAAAAGAGCCATCAAGATCCACATATGAAGGACTCTGCTCTTACTGTGGTTGAGTGAACCAAGTTTTTGTGCCCTGAGCAGGCAGTAATGACAAGTTGTGGTATTTGTCCTTGCTTTCAGGTGTATTTTGAGTCTTGGGAAGTCCCCTTGACTTTGAGGGTTACCTAAGGAACAAATCACTGCCCAGCATGGTAAACCAGTTAAACCAGTCACAGCATTTGCTGACGGGGATGGTCTGGGTTCTGCTGTAGTCACAGGGAGGCTGAGGAGGCTGGAAGAGATGTCCTGGTGGCACTGATGGCAAGTGTTGAGTCATGCCACAGAGCTGATTCTTGGCTTTTCTTTCAGAATGAGCCTGGAGGTGAGGAGCAGCGGGAGCCTGGTGAGCATCCAGCTGCAGAGTACTGGTTGCCAGGTGCGCAGCAGCAGCAGCATATGGGCAGCCCTCTGGGGCTGCATTCTCTGCAGCGGGAGCATGAGCTGGTTCTCTGGGATTCACGTCAAAGCTCTTGCTGGATGCAGGAGTATATCCCTGAGGGTGTTGCTGCCACTAGTCAGCATGTGCCAGTGGGTGTTGTGTAATCAAAACTAGTTCCTTCCTTTGGCTAAGCAAAGGAGTTTGCTCTTTTGGGTTTAATTGTCAGTTCTGCAGATTCCCAACGTGCCTGCCTTAATTCCAGTTATCCATGTGCTTACTTGGCCACTGACGGAGCCCTGAAAACAGATGGCTGATGCTTTCAGTCCAAACCTTCAGTCATCATTTTTCAGCATCAGTTTATAGATATTCTGCCAGGACGGTTAGAAAAAAAAACCACTAAGGGAAAATTTAACTGTGTCAGGCATTAAGTGTATGAGGAGGATGGGAAAATGCTGCCTAGTCAGACATGGTCAGTTTGTGGTGACCCAGGATACAGGATGATAGCATACCTTCTCCTCCTGCAGAAGCCTTTGGGCTGATGGAGTCTGGCTTCTGTTCTTTATGCTGGGCTATGTTAATTTAATCCTCAAATCTCCATTGCTCTTGCAGATTCGCCATTGCCGCAGGGTGTCTGTATCATCCCGGTATTCCTAACAGAAGATGAAGTCTCAGTGCTCCGAGACTTTCCAGTGGAGTGGATGACTAGGTAGGAAATCAATCTGACGCATAGAGAGGCTTTTGCAGCAAGGGAGCTAACATGTGGCACTGTGTCCTCGCTAGCCATTGTTACTGTTTTCTCTGTTACTAACTCAAACTCTGTCATCTGGCTGTTAAAGCTGCCTGAGGTCTTTAAGGCTGGACAGAATTTGTGGTGTCCATATCTATGTTGTGAAGCAGCCTAAAGCAGAACTGTTTCCCAAGACCAACTGTGATGTTCTGTTGTTTCTCAGCTCACAGTGCTGCCTTTGTGCTTTGCAAGGGAGTGACATTCCCAGGAGTCTGCAGTGTAAGAGGCCTGTGCTTTTCACCTGTGTTAGACTTTAGCCCATTCTTTTCCAAGGTAGATGCTCTTTGTAGGAGAGAATAGATCAGCTATTGAATGCTACCAGGAGGTGATAGTGTTATTAGGTATGTAATAACTCCAAACAGATCCTACTCAGTAGTTTAATCAACTTGTCATCTCCCGCTAGGTCATCTGTGTCCCCAGCAAGCCCTAGAGGAGAGAAGAATGCTCTCTGCTCCCAGGCAGTTTCAGAATCAACAGGAGTTCATGAAAACCAAGACCTGAATAATATCTCTGTGCAGGAGTCCCATGAGCAAGCTTCAAGCACAGCTGCACCAGAAGATGCTGTGCAATCAGGCAGCCTTGCAAACACAGGCCCTTTGAAGGGCTTCCCCGAAATGGAAGCTAGTACAAAGAATTCTCCAACTGCAAAACTGAGCAGCCCAGACAACAAAAGTTCAGAGCTCTGTAGAAAAGCTTCTTTCTCGTTAGAGAGAGACACGAAGCAGCTGCCAAGCCCTTTCACACTCCATACTGCTGAATGTGCTCAAACTACAGGTCTGTATCTGGAAGGCTTTTCCTTTCCAAACCCTTACGCCGGGGAGCAGGAGAGTCAGAGCATGGGGAAATCCCTTGTGGACTTTGATGTTGAGCAACGCGATTTCCAAAGTTACCCTGCAACCAGTGGCAGTCCAGCTATTTGCTCTCCTGCCCAAGAGCTGAGCAGAAGGAAATCAAGTGAACAAGACAAGCGAGGGACTATGAGCCAAAATAGTGTCTCTGGAGAAAGCAGCAGTGCAGCTGGCGGCAATGCGCGGGGTTTGGATTGTCCGGCCACTGCTGTACAATCAGAGCTCCAAAGCAGGAGTCAGCTGCCAGCTGTAGAGGTTCAGGAGAGCCTGCCCGGTGACCCAGCAGAGAACACGCACTGTCCCAGGAGCGGGGAGAGTGGCTGGCCGCCTCAGGTGGACAGTCTGGGAGCCCAGGCTGGTGTGGAGTCAGGCAAACAGTGCAAACTGGTTAAAATGAGCTTGTATGTTCACTGCATCAAGGGGCTTGTGCTCTCCCTGCTGGCTGAAGATCACCTCCGAGAGGACCAGAGCTCCATTGAAGATGTGGTAAGTGGGAAAGCTCCTCCCCACCTGTAGATACACTCACTGCTGCTCGGCTGGTGGTGGTGGTGGGGACAGGGGTTACAACTGAAGAGCGAGCGTTGGATCGCGCTTCCCATCTCTTTCCTCACCTGCTCTGTGCTGTGCAAGGCAAAGCCATTTGCCTTCGGGTTCGTCACCACAACCAAAGCTACGTGGGAGGTTGTTCGCGAACGTCAGGCAGCGAGCCTGAGAGGTGAGAGCGTTGTCTCACAGGCAACTCCTGTTGCCTGTTGTTGTCTGTCGGTGCCAGCGCTGGAGCAGAACGTGTAGGTGTGACCGTCAAACAGCCCTGCGGGCTGCCAAAGGCCTGTGCTGGATTTGGGATTTGTTGGGAAACCCTGTCAGTTTTGTAGTGCTTTTTGGAAAGCAAGGTTTGTTCTCTTTTTAACCTCCACTTTGCATGTCACAGCTTCTCCCTCTGGAAGCACCAGAGACGTGTCTGGCAGCAAGTCCCCGAAGCGTTTCCTTTCTAGGTGAAAGTCTGGCTGTCTGCGTCCCCAGCCTGCTTCTCCCTGGCGCTGCTCTCCGGGGGCCGGAGCGAAGGGTGCCATTTGGGCACTGCAAACAGGTGCTGTACCAGAGCAATGCCAATTTACTCTGCTGCGGGATTTGCTTCGGTGTGCAGGCTTCCCTGCCAAGCATTGCAGTGCAGCTAGTGGGGCTGTGGGGGAAGGATGTGCCGGCCCCCGGTGTTTCCCGGTGAAGCATTAGTCTGCAGAGCTGCCGCCTGGCCTCTGCTTCCCTACCAGGGAGCTGAGTCAAAGCTGCAGAGGCCTGTTTGATATGCCAGTTGCCATAGGAACAACCTAATTTCTTTAACCGTCAGACTGGAAGGTGGAGGGAAGCTCAGACTAACACTGGCTCCCAGCATTAGCAGAACCTCAAGGTTACTCCTTTTACTTCCAAGCTCTGGGACTCGGAGGCTGTGGCTGTGACCCCCCCGTAAGCAGGGGGATGCCACCTCTGCACAGCATGTAAGGATTGGCATGGGCAGGAAGGGATTGCTGCAAAATCAGCAGAGGCCAAGAGGTGCAGCCTTGGCCTTTTGCACCAGACATGGTGCATTGCTCTGTCCACTTTCTGCTCATTTCAAACAGGTAGCTGCACAATGGCTCCCACTGTACCATGTCTTCTCCAGTTGCAGGGAGAGAGGGAGGTGCAGGCAGGTAGGAACTGATGCTCTCAAGAGCTGAAGGTCGTCCTCGTTGCACAGGTACCCTCAGCTTCTCTGGGTTTCCTCCGGTTGCAGCTCTGGTCTGGCTGGCTGGCAGTGCAGCTCTGCCGTGCTCGGAGGCGGTGTGGTTCCCGGCAGCCCGTGCAGCACCCCTGGCTGGAAACCAGCCTCTGCTCTGCTTCATGTCTGACCTGCCATGAGAAGGAGCGTCTGAAGGATGTAGCTAGTGTGTGAAATGCCTTGTTGCGGGGGTTGGCTCTGCTAGAGGCACCTTGCACGTCCTCCCATCGAACGCCTGGGCAAGGCCAGCAGTGATAGTCCAGTGCCTGCAGTCTGCAGCTGGCCAGAAGCTCAGAGCAGGGGCTAGGTGCCCATTAAAAGATTTACTCCTGTGTTGAGAGAGTGCTGCGGGAAACACTGCAGGCAATTAAATCCAGCCTGGCTCAATTTGTCATTCAGTTCATTAAGTCTCAAGACCAACTGCCTGACACTGGTGCAACGCACTTCAGTCGATTTTTCCTTTATGTATTGCCCCAGGGTTGACGAAGCCCTGTTCCTCTCAGGTTCCTCTTTTCCCAAACATGCTACTTCCATCTCACATACTCTTGCTTTGGATCTTATCTTAGCAAAACTGTACTTTCACACAGCTTGGATTTGGACTGTGACTGGGTTCTTCTGACTACACCCTTCCTCTGGGTGCAGGTGTTTGTTATCTCTGAGGAGAGATGCACTGCATGTCCCGTCATCCCAGGAGGAATTGTGTTGTTCAAGGAGGTAGAGCCGGGCTCTGCTGCTGGCGTCATGGTGGATTTGAGGCGTAACCTCAGCTTGTCTGTTCCTTTGTTTATCTGTAGATTAAAAATGACCCTCAGCTCTCAGGGATGTCAAAGCTTAGTTATAATTAATGTTTGTCGAATGCTTTGAGGCCCCTGAATGACACCAAAGAAGGGTAAAATATGCTACTTGTGCAGCTGAGAGCAGCAGGCACTCCCGCTCATCCCTCTGGGAGGGCGGTTTCCGATACAGGCTTTCCCTGGAGAGCAGGAGGCTTTGGAGGCTTTCAGGCTCGCTTCCTGCCTGTCTTTAGGTCTTATCCCTTCATTTCACTGCACAGAAAAGAAAATCTGTTCCATGACCAGGGGGGTCAAGGATAGGCCAGGCGCTGCCGTCCCGCTGAATGGAGGCTTAATCC